GGCGGCAGAGCGGGGTGAGGGGTGGGCGGCGGGGTGGGCGTTGTCGCTCTGGCCGCGGCCCGCACTCACTGGTGGTTACCGCACGGAGAGGCGAGGCGACCGTCCCGTTCCACCCCTATGAGAGCGAGGCGAGGAGGCTAGCAGGGCCTCGGTGGTTGCAGCGAGTACCACAAAGGGTTCGAGGCGGCGACGAGGGGGAGGGGGTGCAGCATCCAGGCTGCTGCTGCTGGAGCCCACCATGGAAGCCCCCTTCCCACTTCTCGCCCTGGAATTATTGATCGGGGCTGAATGTGGGCCCCGGGCACTCCGCCCGCCGCCGCCGCGCCACGCGGCCCCGGACCAGCGCAGCACCTGGCCGCTGTCAAAGACCCGTGGCCATCCCTGAGCGTGGAGATAGGCCCTAAGCCCAAACACCCGCCGCTCGGTGCACTTCCAAGCCTCGCCCACAACCACCCACCCGCCCCTCCCGCTCCCGCTCCCTCCTCCCCTTTATTTCATCCATGAAAAATAATAAATAATAAACACCGGGAACAGACGTCTCCAACTAGTGCGAGTCGACTCGCAGTTAGAGCTATCTCCCTGTGCACGAATCTGGTCGGCAGAAGGTACGGTCACACAACTGGCTGGCTTGTTGAACAAATCGGATCAGAGCTTTTGAATTTCCCCCCAAACAACTCGTGATGTTGAAAATTTGTCATAGTTCGCTCATTTGGACACACCATGTGGGGAAACATGATAGTAAATCATATGCTTTTATATGAACGTGAAACTTCTGAGTCGGCCTAACTCTGAAAGAATATATAATCAATACGTTTAATTAACAGAACAAAAATAGTGAGTACCTTCTCTTAGTCCTTCCCCTTTGGCAAGTAAATCTACTTTTCGGTCCGTAGTGTTACTGTAATATGTTTCTTCTTCCTGTCTTCTTCTTCCGTCCACCATTACTACTTGCTGCAGAAGTCACAGCTGAATTTTCGGTCCGGGACAACCGTCTCGTTAATTTCTGCGTGTACCGTGGGATTACCAACAAATAGTCAAAATGTCATCCTGGAGAGCAGCTGGTCTGAAGTAAGATTACGTCCTAGAACTCAGTTTGCCCCATGTCTTTTCTTGAATTGATAGACAATATCCGAAATGTGCCCTCTGCCATTTTAACCTTGGTGGACAGACACCTTCATCTATTTCACCGATATCGCCTTCCTTATTTATAGAGTAGAATTCACGTAGACCCCTTGTGTATTCTCATCAACGGAAAGACTTGTTCATACGAGTTTCCTAGGCTGTCCAAATGAAAGTGATAAATACTTGGATACATGTACTGTTAACCCTCTGCTGGTCCAGTAACCCTTCATTTTCTGTCCTTACAGCTACGTTCGGTACTCTAACATCGCTGCCAATCTGGTGCGACAAGCTCTGAAACCAGAACTTCGCGCTGCTGCTGCCAAGCGTGATGACTCGTCTGTCAGACTAACTCCCTGGAAGGACGGCAAGCCCAACAGTGAGTACTGTTCATAACCTTACGACACAAGATTCTCCATCAACTCAACTACACATTGTGTTCTGTGGGGAAATCGCACCTCTGCAATTTTACATTTACATCTATCTATAAACTCATCCTGATGTATATTTGCCTTTCACTCTTTCTAGCGGGAAAGCCTGAATAAGACTTTGGGTCATCGAGTATGTAAATGAGTGGAATTTGATGTGTCAAACTAACAAGATTTATTATAGTGTGATGTGTGCATGACGAATTTTCTCCATGACAATGATATTTAGAAGCAATAATACTAAAGTGTCTTGGGAAATTAATAGTCTACCCTGTTTGAAGTGCATTTTTACCATTCAAACTACTTTTGCAGCATGGTTTGGTTTTTTAGTTGTAACTTCGTGAAGTTAACTCATTTCTTTTGCTTTCAGGGTCGGCTGCTGCAGCTTCAGAGTGAAGGTGTTATGGGGAATAATAGGTTAGCTGCAACAATCAACTTGTGTACTTCTGTGCCCATTATTCAGAACTGTCATGCACCCTAAATTTAGACCGAAATTTGTTGATTGAACTGTCAGTTCTTGGAGAATGTAAGAATTTCATGTAGCAAGGGAACAGAATTGGCATGGAAATGAAAACCTTTCATGTAAATAAACATTTTAATCTTACATAAAGTTCTGGTGTTTCAGTCAAACATATTTTACCTTACTATTATCAAACTCAAACATTTTAGAATTGACTAACAGATCAACTGTTAGGTCCTATCAGATCCAATGAAAATATTGAAAACAATGGGTAATTAAAATATACTTTTAAAAATCTAAATTTGAGGTGAAAGTAATGAGTATTACACTAAGCCTTCACCACTACAGATTTCAGTCCATCACCTTAAAGTCTATTTTATAAATTAATTTTGATTTGTTATAAATGGTATTATGCTAATCGCAATGGAAGGCCACTTGCTGAAAGCAAGTGAGTGCCACTATCTGTTAACTCCTTTGCTCCTTCACCAATTCGAGTGTGGATGACATACTTCAGCAAACCATCATCCTGCTTTTGCATGCCTACAGCTTCAATAGCCTGGACTGTTTCCTGCAAAGACAAATGTTAGTTGTCCCAATGTAACAAAAAATCTGTAGTTGGTTGGTATTGATGCCTGAAAAGGGACAAACCTTGGCATTGCATGGAGGAACTGGAAGCCCTTGCACAGTATTCCCAGAATTATTTGATGGGAAAAAGTAATCAACTAAAGCCATAGTTTCAGCTACAGCTGATTCCAACAGATACAAACAGGCATTGGGGCCAGCATCAAATGTGTATGCCACCTACCAAATTCAAATTCACATGAAATGTATAGAATTATTGCATTTCTCACGCTGTGAATAGTGTGTGCTCACATACCTTAGTACATCCTTTCACTTGGTTGAAGCAGTGAATTAAATCTACGATAGCATGAGACACATCGTTCATGTATACAGCTGGGGGATAGGTATCCAAAGCAACTGCATGGAATTGATTACTATCTTTCATTGTAATCTCAGCAAAAGTGGGGAAGTCCCTGTTGTGAATCGCCTGTATAAAACAAACTAACTTAGTCAAACATTTTTCCAAATCTTTTGTTTTGCTTGAAGTTATAAATCAAGTACCTTTTCAATAGCAGCAATGCGTTGAGGAACACAATGAGCAACTCTGTGTTTCAAAAGCTCACTTGTTTCTACAGAACGCTGCATACCTGACGTGCTGCTAACTTTCTTCTTTTTGTCATTTACCTAAAATTCAAATACTTAAAATCTCATCCTATAAAAAATTTAGCATTTTAATTCAAAAGTACTGATGCTTACAACAAGAATGATGACATGCATTTCTGGCCAGTGTGAGGCTGGCACAACCTGTGTTGCAAGAGAATCTGAGCCATTAGAGGCATTTCCCATGTGCCACCGAACAAATCCTCCTTCTAAGCTGCGGCATGCACTACCAGAGCCTTGACGAGCTATTTGTGATACATCACCTTTCACTTTGTACAATTTTGCTAATGCATACACTGAAATAAATTTCAAAATTAATAGATCCTGAGTTGGCTTTCTTCAGGTTAATAATAAAAAGCTTGATTTACCAAAGCATGCATAGCCAGCAGCAGACGATGCAAGGCCAGCAGCTGTAGGGAAGTTGTTCTCGGAGCATACGTGAATATTCCATTTTAGGATCTCCTTGCTGGTACCATCTTCTTGAGCTCTTTTCTGAACTGGGTAAAAAAAAGTTCAGATCACAGCTCATTCCCTAACATAGATTAAACAACGATTCTGAAAAATTCCTCTTACTTTCTTTTAAACAGGAAAGCAATCTTGCATTGCCGCCAAAAGATTCCTCTCTGTAAATGGAAAAATAGAAATAGATCGAAGATGAGATAAACCTTGGACACAAGGCTGTAAAATTACCAAGTGTAATGAAGTGTGTGCCCCACTGCTGAAAGATTAACATCTGCATCTCATGTTTTTTAAACAGAATAAAGACCAAAATATTTTCCTTTTCTCATGAACAGTACTGTTTCTCTATTAAAATAATTGAATTTCCATACTTACTTTCCATTTAGCCACATGCAGTTCTTTGTAAAATTTGGACTAGCCATTATTGTGGTTTTTGCATGCATCTTTGATGCACCAACAGGTCATGGAAAAGCAACGTCAACAAAATGAATTAAGCGCATATTGACAATTTAATATAAGAGTCAAACATAATTTTGTAATTACGTACCTGCTCCATTGACAGGGTACCACTTAATGAATCGTTTAACGGAATAATGAGCTTTTCATCTTTCTTTCCCCCTGCAATAATGTTTTTATCAATTAATGAGCATATGTCAATTCCTTGACAGATCTTTTTGACTTACACACTTTTAAGAACAAACTAATGGCAAGATTAGTACTTACAATATTTGATGACAGCTATATTCACTGGGGCAATACAAGTGACAGTGCAAGCCATTTTCAAAACTCTGTTTTAGATACTAATCCCTTGACAAGCAGCTGCAGCACAACACGACCGGTCCCCTTTTCTCTTGACACTGAACACTTTCACGCCGGCACCGTGCTTAAAGAAGGGGACTGTCCCTAAACGAGGTGAATCGCCCCCACCCCACTTTTCCCCCACTCCTCCCGCTAAGCAGTATGAAAAATAAAAGTTCAATTTGGGCGGGAAAAGCTACTGCTTTTTGAATTTGACAACACCATCATTCTCAAGACTTAAGTTTATGAAAGAGTTTCAATAACCGACAATGTCTCTGATGTGTCTTTATAATCATCACAAAACACAAATATAGTATTCAAATATTTTTATTACAAAAAAAAAAAAAAAAAATAGGATTCATGCATTAAAAATACTTTTACAATCTAGAAAATACAAGTTTTACAGGCTGATCTGGTTTGTTAATGGGTACAGAAATGCAGCCCAAAGGTTCTGATGAATTCCATGTAACACAATGTGTCCGAGCAACCTTAAAAAATAAATTTTAAAAGAAACTTAATTAAATAAGAAAATCAATAATTTATAAATTATGATAAAATGTAGATAGATGCTTTACCCTTAGGAGAAACGTTAACAGCTGTTGTTCAGCTAAACGTCGAGCAATGCAAGAGCGACGCCCATGACCAAATGGTAAAACAAGGAAAGGGTTCACTTTCTCCTGTCTTGGCGATTCTTTTAACCACCTCTCTGGCAAGAAGTCATTGGGTCTGTCAAAATACTTTTCTAAGCGGCAAGCGACTTGATTTTGAGTCACAACATTAGTCTGGAAATTTAAAAATGTAAATGAAATTAATCAAGCCGTCTTTATACTTTTCATATTTTTTGAGATGTTGATTTATCTCTTACCCCTTTAGGAATTTGGTATCCAGATAGAACTAAATCTTTATTAAGAAGCCTGCCCACACCTATTGAAATAGGACTCATTCGGAAAACCTCTTTCAAAACAGCACGAGCGTAGGATGCCTCAGACAAAATGTCACCTGATATGGGCTGAGTAGCTGACTGCAAAAGAGTCTGGGCCTCCAGCTGTAGTTTTTTCTGAGCATCACTATTCCTTGCTAGATGATAAAGAGCAAATGAAGCAGTATAGGCGGTCTGGAAAAAAAAAATATATCAACAAACAATCCAACTAAAAGTAAAAAATCTGGATTTCTTCAGTACTTTGATAAATACATACAGTTTCAATCCCAGCAAGTAGTAAGTCCACTGCCATTCCATTTACATCCTTGCAATCAAAATTGGGAGAAGTCAAATATCTTTCAAACAAGGAGGGAACACATCCAGAGTTCTCAGCTGGCTGCCTTGAATTAGCCAAAGATTCTGCCTTTCTTTGAACAAATTCAACTGCAACTCTGAAAAGATTTTGGTGTATCAGTATTTGTCACAGGCTAAAAAGAATAAAATAGTACCCGTTCACATTTTCCAGCCCAAGAATGCTTACTCCTCCATAAACAAAGAAGCATCCTCTAATTTGGGCCATATAGAGAGCCTCAAACTTTCTACATTATCATACACAAAACCTAGGCTGTTGATGGTTGAAGCTGCTTCCATCAAACGGGATGAGCGAGAATCTGATCTTTTCTCTTCTGGTGAAAAGCAGTCAAATTTTTCATCAAAGGCAACCAGACATGTCACTGTAACAAATAATGCAATAATAATATGCCATGTCTAAAAAGTACTTTGATTAAAGTAAATAATTTTATAAAACAAAGAAATTTATCTCACACTGAAGAGAAAGTCGAGAGAGTAAGGGCAAAAAATCTTCACATGGTTGGCAAAGTTGTGCAGTTACAAATTCTTGAATCACTTCATCAACTGCTGGTAGATATGCCCGCACAGCCTGTGGGGCACTGAAACCTTTCTGAAAGTCTCTCCGCAATTTCCACCATTCTTCACCATTCCTATTAATTATTGAAGTCCAAATGTTAATTGAAATTGTAGCATTAGGTTATCAAATGATAAATGCAAAATGTGAAAAGAAAGGAAAAGAGTGTGCACTTACGTTGAAAGAAGACCTCCTGAATTATAAATTGTTGGTCGACTTTTACGAAATTTCTCCACTGCTAGATGACTTCGACGAGACGGATAGGAATTTTCAGAAAGAGACAGCTGTTCAATATCACTTGTATCAAAAATTAACAGTATATTATTACCAGGAGAAACTTCTTCACGAACTATTGGTCCATATTTCAAATATTTTTCAAGTCCAGCTTTGTCTAGTCTTTCATGGTTGTAGGCTGGATCACCAGATTTTGGTCCAGGAATGTCATCGAATGGTCTGACATTTTGAGTGTGAATCTGTTGCCTTAGAGAAATTCGATTTATGTTGCTCTTAACAGGAGGAAGTAGCTTCAAAAAATATGTTTGCGGTCTGATGATAGAGCAATACTTAGAGAATAATAGCACAGCCATGTCAATGCTGGAAAAGGAAGACACGTTAGCCCCAAAAGAAAGACTGTATCCAACTCACTTCAGAGAGAACAGAACAGGATTTGGGAATGCCTCCCCATCTCAAAGCAGGCTCATTGAAATTCAGAGGGAGTGACAGCGAGAGACATCCTGCATACAGAATGAACAAGAATGACCTATCCTCACTGCTTCGTTGATTTGTATGGTTTGATGAATAATGCAATGCAGAGATATAAGGAAACTAAATCATCGTCCAAAATAATAACGACAAGACTAAGCAAATGTAAGTAAATACTAACCAGCGCTAGAGGAAACACGAACTCGCGTCTGTCAGAAAACTCACTGATCGAGACAGAGAGCTGACATTCTAGTAGACCTGGTCTGGTCGCCGCAACTGTTCGTGCTCGCTGACTGTCAACACTTCCAGGAAAAATCAGCAGAAGCAGATTCGATCTGCTGATACAGCAGGTCTCCTACCCTCTCTCTACCTTTACGGGATGCGGCGTGCTAACAAGTGGCGAGTGGTTTCAAAATACTAGAGCCGTGTATGGCCGCTTTCCGGATAGTGTCGCACACTGATGTAACTCATATTTTATATCCAAAGAATAGCAGAATACCTAGCTTTTTACTTGTTCGTAGAAATTTGGTCCACCTTACACACCTGTGTTTTTCTTTTTGCGAGCTGCAACTTTAAAGAACCGGCGGTTTCCATGTCTCGTTTTTCGACCAATGAGAGTTGACTTTATAGCAATTTTTCATACCCCATGTTGCATAGACTGTGAAAGTGAGGTTCCCCCACCACCTATACCCCACCCACCCTCTCCACCACAGCTCGGTACCTCACCCCCCCTCGGTAGGCCGGGATTCCAAACAGGCTAAAATGTTCGCCGTTAATCGCTCAATATGAATTCTAGCTTTGACAAATGTTCTAGGCTTCATAAGAAGTCAGAGAATTGGCTCAGGAATGGTTTTCGAAAGAGAATAATTACTGAACCTAACCTCCTCTCTGCACGCGCGCAGTTTAAACGCAAACAGTAACAGTCACGGCGCAGTATATTTGTACGGCCTTACGTGTAAAGGAGGAAAATATAGGGAAACGTATTGATCTTGTGTCATTGCTTATACTATAAGGGACTTATTTACAGTGCCTTACAATCGAATATATGTTGTAATATTTAATAGTCGAAATAATAGGAGGTGTAGTGGCGCGAACCCTCCAGCAGACGCTACAGTCGCGGCCTTCGGCGGGGGGAGGTGGCAAGCAGCGGGGGCTGGTGGGGTAGGTGGTGGGGGAACCTCACTTTCACAGTCTATTGTCCCCTTTCCTCTCCTCCCCCCCCCCCCCCCAACCCCCTCACCCTTCGCCGCGCTCTTGCTTGCTTTACTTCTTCCGTTTCATCTTCATTGTTTTGTGACCAAGTTCAATTTTGATTTTGATCTCGCGGCCCCACTTTAAAAGTGATGTATGTATGTAGTGGTTTTATACTTACGCAACACAACTAATTTTTAGACCTTTGAAGAGTGTTTTAAACTAAGAACTGTTGTGTGTTGCGGGTTGCCGTTCTTCACTTTTGGTTGTTTTTCGCGTCTGTTTGTGTCATTTGATGTTTGTTGTATACCGTCTTGCGATTGAGTTTTTTTATAATTCTAAAGTAGAATTTGCATCTAGAACTGAAAATCCAGTGCGGCTTATTAATCTAGCTTTGGCAGAGGGAAAATCAGAAACTTTAAATTGTCACGATTTTAGGTTAGGTTTTCTTGTGAGATTACGTTATTTATTAGCTGTGGATCGACACTGTTTCTTGCTTGTAATTTAGCCTTAGCGACGATAAATTTGATTACGTTTAATTCATTTGATGATTTATTGTCCTCCAGGAAAACATTTGTTAACCATCAAACCTGAAGACTAGACCTGCCTAATTATGTCACAAATGAAAATAATTCTGAACACCACCGATGGAAATACAATATCAGTTGATGTCCGTCCTGAAGAAACATATCGGATGCTGAGGGAGCGAATTCAAGTGGAATCAGGCATAGAGCTTGAATTATCTCAAATAGTATATAATGGAAAGCAAGTTGAAGAAGATCAAAATGTATATGATTCTTTCCTTGGTGGTAAGAATATCTGGACTTTTTTTCCTGATCAAAAGTTTGCCAAAATGTAATTGTCTTCTTTCAGTTTGCTAAAATGAACTGTTTTAATTCCTCAGCCCAGTCTCTTGACAAATCATCTGAGCCTAACATATTATGCGTTGTGGAGGGTTGCCCGTCAACCAAACTGACTCATCCCAAAAAGGAAATTTTCAAATTTCCTCTTGAAACTGATAGGTAAATGGCATGAGTCTATAGAACTATATATATCCATAAATCTATTCATCAAACCGTATTACTTTTATAACTTAACTTGTCTTTCAGATTTTCCACTTGGCTCTTGGCCTGTAACAGACATGATTTACTGGGTCGCATCCCAGTTTCACTCAATCTGGAGTGTGGTGTTTGTGCTGATCACTTTCCTGACTCATGTTTTCTTAGCGGGTCCATGAAAAAACGACTTAGAAAGAATGCGGTCCCTATCTTAGAGGAACAGCAGACCAACTTTAATATTCTGGGTAAGCAGTTAATATTGCAACTCATGGATCCATTTAAAAATAAAATTATATAAATAAAATTGATTTGTTTCGGTTTCAGCTCAGGATATGATGATGGCTGATGTGAAACTAGAGGATGCTGTTTCTCTTAATGACATTCAGGACAGTGATCATCTGTTACCAGACAGTTCTGATTTAAATGATCAGATTCTGAAGAAGCCAACAACAGATGATAATCAAGAAGAAGTTGATGAAGAAGATCTGCAAGAGGATGAACTAGAAGAGTTAGAGGAGGATGAAGATGAAGACGAAGAAGCAGATGTGGAGGATGATGATGATATTTTAGTGGACAGTAGCTCTTGCCACGAGCATCCAGGCTTACTTTGTAGACTCTGTGCTCAACAAGTTGACACAGCTCACTTCATTTTTAATGAAAAGGGGAGAGAGGAGAAGCTATTTGACAAAATCAGTAATAGCCTACCTATTAATGTGAGTCTGAAGTATTTTTGCTTGGTCTTCATCAAGAATGTTATAGTTTGTAAAACTAAGTTGTCTGAAATTTCTTTTTTTTAAAATTTTATAAACTTTTGTTTTAGATTCATTGCAATGACCCATTACCAAAGCAAATATGCGGCCAATGTCTTTCAACTTTAAATATTTGCTACAATTTTGGTGTGGCATGCACTAAAGCAGAAGAAACACTGCAGAAGATGGTTTCACGGTTCAAGTATGTTAAGGTTTTGGAAAATTTATTTTACTTTTATTCCTACTCTGGTTTACAGTAATGGTATTTTTTCTATACTTCAGGTGCCAAACTGAAAATAAACCGAATGATCCACTTAGCCCCATTGAAGAAATTTCATCAATGGATGAAGGCATCCTTGAAGAGAAAAATGAAAAATCAGCATGTTACAACTGCCCTCTCTGTTGTGAGGGTAACATGGAATCACAAGACAATGTAAACATTGATGAAATTGAAGGGAGGCAAGGTGGAGATGAGGACATTGTTCATGATTTTTTGGCTGACAGTGTGCTCTGGGAAGAAGAAGAAGATCCTCTGGATTCTAATTACCCTGAAGATGAAGAGAGTGAAACTGCTGATGATGGTGCTGATGATGATGAAACTTACCCCTGCTTACTGTGTGGCGCTAGTTTTATTGCGTTACCTCACTTATTCCAGCATAGTGAGAGCCACCAAGATATAGACTGCTTTCCCTGTGGGCATTGTGCTCTTGCCTTCAATACTAAAGACGCTCTTGCTGTGCATTTGGACCTAGTCATCAACTCTGCTTGTGATGAGCAATACAAATGTAGTGAGTGTGGAAAGCTCTTTTTGTCTGAGGCTCGAGCCGAATTTCATCATGAGGTAACTCATGGTATCAATGGATTTTCATCTCTTTCGTGTTCAGAATGTGGTCAAGTATTCAGACATGAAACAAACCTTTGGGATCATGTGCAAATTGTACATAAAGGTCAAAAACCATTCTCTTGTCCTAAATGTGATGATGTGTTTCAAGCTAGAGCTCAGCTTAAAGCTCATTTGAAAGTTCATGATAGTGTGAGCTCTTTCATTTGTGGAGTATGTTCTGAAGCTTTTCCAAGCAGATCATCTCTGAAGTCTCACGAAGCTTCTCATGCAAATGAGAAGCTTTTCTCCTGTGAACACTGTGATCGATGCTTTAGCCGGAAGTATCTTTTAACAGCACATGTAAGGACTCATCTGGATAAAAAACCTCGGGCTTATACATGCAGAGTTTGTGGTGAGGATGGATTTGATTCCCTACCTAAACTCCTAGTTCATCGGCGTAGTAAGCATCAAGATGTTATGTTGCCGCTAGGATCCAAGAAAGATAAAATTCATAAATGTGAACAATGCAACAAGGCTTTTACTGGACGTGTAGCTCTGAAGCACCATGCTATGAGTCATGCAGGGGAACTACCTCATGTTTGTGAATTTTGCAACAAAGGCTTTACTCAAAAACGATCTCTACTTCTTCATCGACGTATTCATACAGGTGAAAAGCCTTATGCCTGTGGAGAATGTGGAAAACGGTTTGTTCAAAGTGCTCATCTCTATTCTCATCTTCGTCTTCATACTGGAGAAAAGCCTTATCCTTGTTCTGAGTGTGGTGCTACTTTCCGATTGAAGGATGTCAGGGACTCTCACCAAAGGAAGCATACAGGTGAAAGACCTTTCAAGTGCAAAGTTTGTGACAAATCATTCAGAACCTCACATTCTTACTATCAGCATACTTGGATACACACTGGCCGCAAACCTTACCCATGTAATTATTGTGGCAAAGCTTTCAGGCGTTCAAATGGCTTAAAAGTACACATTCGAATTCATACTGGAGAGAAACCTCATAAATGTGAAGTGTGTGGAAGAGGGTTTGCACAAAAACAGGATATGAAAAAACATTACAATCTCCATATGATGGGTCGGTTGTAACTACTTCTAGGTAATTATTTCAATGAGAGATTTTCATTTTCTGATATTGTGATTTGTAACTAATTTACTTCCTAGGGAAAAAATCAGTAATTTATTGAAAATGATTTGTAAGTGAAAGAGCGCATTATTTGATTGTGCTCTTTCAAGTGATAGCTTATCGCCAATATAGCTGTGTCTTTTTTTAATCAATGAATGGAATAATAGAAATTAAATTCTGTTATAAATTATGTATTGCCTGTCACATATTTTATGTGCTAGACTAAAGTCTTCTATTACGTATTTATTGTGATTGTCTGAATTATGTTCTCTATTTGTTCAATATTGTATTGATTGTACTTGTAAAATCCATACTCACTCGTAAGGATTATCATACAAGATTCAGTTCCTGTCATAAACATAAAATTGTACAATGAAATACAAAATTGTATATGCTCTAGCCATTGTTAAACCACAAGTATCTTCTATGTCACCCTGTATGCCTTACAATAATACCGGTAGCTCTTTATTTGAAATTTTAATGGACCCTTTTCAGTCAGTGTCTCTAGGTATCAATCACGGTGGAGAGAGAGAAGGTGGCGGCACGAGGGTCTCCCAGCATAGGGACCCGTGGGTCCAGAATCTCGACAGGTTGGGGGATTAACGGCCGAGTCGGGGCTATCTAACGTGCCGGTACGGAGTACCTTCAGTCGGGGCGGCCTATGCAGGTAGCTGGGCCGCCCCGACTTAGCTTGAGCGGCACCGACCCTCGCCCGGCTCACCCGGCCGGAGTGTGCGAGAGAGAGAGTCAGGTAGGAGCCCGTCCCGCGCAAGCTGAGTCTGGGCTTCCCACCTACCTACCTGCACGGCGTCCCCGACTGAAGGTAGTGTGAACAGGCCCTACAGTTGGCCCCGACTAGGGCGTTAATCCCCCAACCTGTCGAGATTCTGGACCCACGAGCAGACCCCTCGTGCCGCCACCTTCTCTCCCTCCACCGTGGTATCAATAATAAATTTGGTCCATTGTCTTTGTCTTATTTTAATTAACTAATCAGTTACAAAATCTAATGCATCAACATTTTAAATGTGCATATGAAAGAAGAAAATTGATTTGCTTCAGTAAATGTTGAACTCAAATGTTTCTATTTTGTATGAGTGATAAAAGATAAGCTTTTAGTCATCATTCCTAGTGACTTAAAATTTTCTCTATTTCAAGTTTCAATTCAAGTCACTGTTAAGATCAGTCATGGTGTAGTATAGGAAATGACTCTTGAGATTTTGCTGGTGCAAGCAAGTGCAAACTTGATTCATATGCTAAGAAGACTGCTGCATTTACAGGAAAAGATCTTAACATCATCATAGAGAATCCCCTAAAGAATACAGGGAAACCATTAGCATTGTAACTTTTTCTTGCACAATCTATTACTCCTTTATACATTGGTTTCTTGATGTCATCCGCTTGAATTCTTGACTTTATGAGGTCTACTGGAGTAATAACTGCCCATGAAACCACACCTGAAAGTTTTAAAATTTATTAATTTGATTTAGGAAATTTATTTAACTGGACAGGGTTTTTCTTAAAACCTACACATACCTGCACAGCCTCCACTGACTAGTGTGGTCAATACATGATTCCAGTGCAAGCTTTTCAAACCAGTTTCATACACGGCCATATATACACCATATGAAACTACGTCTCTAAAATCAAAGGTGAATGTTGTGAGCAGCTGGTAAGCATCCTACTCTAGCCAATGCCAACACCAATTTCGAAGCTGTGTGCATACTACGAAGAAGTACAGTGCTTACAGCATGTTAAAGTGCAAAGGGAACCAAGAAATCATTACTAATTTCATCAAAATTCTAAATGACCAGCCTGCAAAGACAAAATTGTATGTAGGTTTACTGAATACCTGCAGATCCTCCTGCAAGAACCAGTGTTCCTGGATGTTGCATTTCGTGTATGTGTGCTTTGCCTGCTGTGGCACATATTAAGTGCTCATAGGCAAGCATATACAAGCCATATGATGGTACATCTCTGCATAATAATTATATTCGGTACACCTTTAACATTTTCTTGCTCTGAACAAATTGCCAATTATTAATTCTAAATACTTACCGAAGCAACATGGGATACATTCCAGTGTAAAGGCCTCTGATCCCTTGATTGTGGCATAGCCTACGGATGCAATCCACCATTCCTTTATGTTTTGGTTCATTGTGATGTCCCCATTCTTTACATGATGGCGCGCCTGACAAAAAATAGAAGCATATATGGGGTGATTCAGGCTGATATAGGGTATCTCGATACTTGTAACGATTAATAACAACAAATGTTGGTGTGTCACCTGTTTGGGACTGCATTTGTATTTTTATCAAATCGATTGGGCATGCTAAAAAGCAAGCAAACAATCCTCCAACACAACCAGCAGCAAAAACATTCAAAGACGATTTTTCATTTTTCAGAGGTAAACTATCTTCACTAATACTTTTACAGTCTCCTGAAGCACTTTTTGGCTGTTCTATAAGTCTTAATGTATTTGCATAAACTCCAAAGAATAGAGCATTTAGGGCACCAGCAGAGAGAAGGGGAAAGGTCATTCCCTTATAAAACCCTCGCACCTTAGAAACAAATTGGTTTATTAATAAAAATTTAAATCATTTTTAGTTGCAAGGTCAAAACTGTTTTTGATAACTTACTCCTTCATACTTCAGAGTAGTTTGAAATGATTTTAACACCCCAATCTTCTCACTGAAGGCTTGCTGCCGAACTTTAATGGTATCAAGTGGGTGTCCGACAGCAAGACCAGCAACACCTACATTTGTTAGAGAAAGCAAACTACAGATATTAATCAGAAAATGAGAAGATATTGCCATCAATCGTCGTTTTTTTATTTTTTCATAGTCAGCAGTAGCTTTAAAACTTGAGATAAGGAGGTTCAAAGATAAGCCCAAGATCTGGTAACCAGCTGGGCTAAAAGGAGGGGGGGGGGTCAAGCATTTTTTCTTTCTGGAGTAGCTTTCTTTAATTAAAAGCCAATTGCAATTGACAATAAGATAAAACGACACCGAAAGTAAGTTCCGTGATGGGGAGGGGGAGGGAAATGGTCAGCCCCGTCAACGGCCAGATCTACCTACCTACCCCCCCTCCCCTCCCTCACCATACGCGGTCTTCCCTTACGCTATGCGCGTTCTTATATTGGAGAGCACAGGCGTAGAGGCCATATCTCTTGAAACAATAGCGTTGCTATGAAACGTCCGCAAAAAACGATTGCGCTGAAACCTAAAGGTTTCTCCAAAGAAACATCCAATTGGACAATAATTAAACCACGTACTTTACCTCCAACCCAGCCGGCGACGAATTCTTGCCAGGATAGCACGTCCATTACACTAGTGGGCACTAAAGTTCAGTCATGATTCCCAAAACAAAAGTGTATGTAGCCTTTCCGATCCGTTGCCCGCGGTCTACTCGCGCGCAGTGCTCGCATGCTGCTCGCCATCGGCAGCCATCGGCCAGTGAGGAAACAGACAGCGTTGTCTCGATAGAGATAAGGGGATAACAGACTGCGCAAGGCAGAGCCGGGCAGAGCGCGTCCCCATAGAGTTACGTACAGTGGATCAGCTGCTTTCTGTTTTTCGTTGACCGCCTGGCCGGATTGCATGGAAAGAATCGCGCAGAGACATTTTCTTCCACATATTAAATTTCTAAATATAGTTATAAGTTCTTATTTTAGAGGTAATTTTAAAAAAAAAATAATAGAAAAATTAAAATGCACTTACTGTTTTGTTGTAAAGATAATGGTTTATTTTTATTTCTAATTAGTAAGATTGCCTCTGACACTGTACATATGCATATTATTTCATAGGTACAAACAGCACTTTAACAGTAATAGCCTATGATCAAACATTTCTTCTCTTCGCTTATTTTGCTTGCCATGAACTATTTTGAGCTACTGTCTTTTGAAGATAATTGGAGATAGCGGAGAAAGGATCAGTCTTGTAATGCTTGTTAGAGAGGACATTTTTGTAGGCTTTCATATTATCTATGCTAAAAATATTAAAAAAGACAAACATTAGTTCAACGAGAAAACCTAATTAGTGAAAAATTTCCGTTTTACCTAGATGTGTTTATATACTTACAGCTGCTTTCGTTTCTGCTTAGAAGAATTTCCTCGCACACGCTGCACCTTACTACCACTACTACCACTACTACCACTTTGACTTGATTTTGTTGAGGTTTTCTTCTCTTTATTACTAGCAGTGAGTGAAGATAGCGCATCCATCAAAGACAGCACCGACATGGGTTTGGGCTGCTTGGGAACTCGTGGTTTTTTGGCAGCTTTGACAGCTTGTCTTGACACTTCAAGTTCTGTATCAAGGGAGGGAATTAAGATTACATAGGAAATAAGCCAAAAATGTTATAGTAATGCAAAACTACAACTTACTTTTGAGAAGCTCCTCTCTTCGGACAAGTCGCCTATCCTTTTTCAGCGCAGGTTTTTTTGACTGAGCTTTTTGGCTCCCAACGACAGAAGCTTCACTGACAGAGCCTAGCACTGCAGTTGTTGGTTGTGGTAATAATGTTTGCTTGAGATCAGATAGAGATATGGTGAGACCAGCAAAAATATTTGCGTCACTATTCAATTTCACTGGCACCTCAAGCCTTCCTGGCACAGACTGGACAACTGGTACAATAGGAGTTGAGCTGTCTGTTTCTGCATTATCTGCCTTTTGACAGGCTAGGTGGTACTTCTTGCGAAGTCTTCGGACCTTGCCCATTTTCTTTTGTGTGTAAAATGTGAAAGTTCACAAATGATATCTGATTCCCAAGGCAAACGAGACGGCACTCCGTGATCCTAAACCTCTTCTTGACAGAAAAATAACGTAGGAATTTGGATCTTGTATCTTTTAGTTTTTTTAGCTATTACTAGATTCGTGGACAAAATCTTGACTTTTGCTTTTCGAAAGTTAAAAGTAACCTGGCCAAATCACTAGTACGGACCGTGTAGTCCACGCTTTCGTCAACAAACACACATGTGCTGAGTGAAGAGCAGAAAACGATTATTTTCAGGAACCGCTAGAAACGTTGGCTGCCCTGTTCAGACAGTTCTCTCTCCTCTCAGCCGTTTTCGTAATAATATATAAAAGTTAACATTTAGTTTTATTCTAGACTTTCTTTGGCTTTGAAATGCGTCCAAGTGTCATTTATTCATCTAAAGTAAAATGGATTTCATTTTCATCCTGCGTACAGTATCGAGTGTCAATAACGGTCAGCAGTTGAACGACGGGGTAAACCGTAAACAAAGCGTCAACTTTCCAACCAACCAAACACTTGTCGTCGTGTCCTGATCCTGCTGTCAAGTGGTTTCATCTTTGGACCCGATATTTGTGGACTTACGCGACTAGTGAAGCCGGCCAGCATATTGTTACCCAAAGTTGAAGTCTACCCGCTTCTTCGCCTGACTTTTATTGTTGGAAAGACCAGTTTTTATGCAGACATGGGGGACAAAAGTACCTTATTAACCTATTTGTTGTGGCTGGTGGGAGGTATATTTGGTCTGCACCATTTCTACTTGGGTCGTGATTCTCAAGCATTCCTTTGGTGGAGCACTCTTGGTGGCTACATAGGTTGTGGCTGGTTGCGTGACATATTTTACATTCCTACCTATGTTGCTGATGCGAATGGGGAGAGAGCTTTCTTGGAGAAACTTATAACTGCGTTCAGAACTCATGACAAGGTAAATGGTTTTTCTACCGATGTATTCACTATTTTGTGTCAATATTAACAAGTCTGTTTAGTTCAGCCCATATTTTGCTGCTGCTGTCAATTTGTGGTTTTATGATTTGAATGATGCAAGTAGCAGCCTGCATTTCACCTTTACACGTGATTGGATTGAAGATTATAGTTCCCATTAATAGTGATCTGTAACTGCATATAACTAGAGATTTGACTAATGTATATCATAGAGTCCTTTGTGAAAGTGTGACATTCCTTCCAATGCTTCATAGAAAGCATATTTTAAGTAGGCCATATGTCACACCCACTTACCTCTAAGTAGGTTACCACATTACCAATCAATTTTGATGAATGAATGTGTTGTGAGTCAACACTGCAAGAGTCCATAATCTTTGTTAACCACTTTGCTGTTCAGCTAATTGACTTCATAACTTTTATTTTTAGGTTTCAGTGTCATTTATTTGGTGTGTGGGTCATTTAGTAATCTTACACCTCTCTCCTTTTTAGCCACCATTCTCAACTACTCGATTCTGTGGAATGGTTATTGTTGGCTACCTTTGGGCATCTATCTTAATGTTGGCTATCCCAGAAGATGAAGTTGCTGGTATTAACTGGAGGTTCTTGCTATTCCTTGGTCCATTAGCATGTGCTGTGGGTGAGTTAAATGTCGATTGAAATTTTTGGTTTGATGAGAATGTTTTTAAGTACTATCACATCTTTACTTCATTTTGTGCAGGTGTTTGGACTGTGGGCAATATTGGACATGAAGAGGGCTCTATTTGGTGGCCACTGGTTGCAGCCTACGCAACTTCGCCTCTCTACTTTTACTTTCACATCTATATCCCCTATTTAGATGATGCGACAGCATTCACTCTTATGGTATTCTGCTCTGCATGGGCATTTGATTCAAAGGCTAAGCAGTGGAGACGTACCCCAAAAAAGAAGAAGTCTCTTGCCAGGTAATTTTATTTAAAAATGAATTTGCAACAAACTTTATCTTTGCTTTTGCTTTATCCTTATATGTATTTGTTTCTTACAGGAGAATCACAACTCTGACTCTGTGTGCCCTACTCTACATGTCTCTATGGTCCTCTTACATATACTTCAATGCAAAGCTCACTGATGCTGAGGGAGAAGAAATTCCAGTACATAAGGCAATTCATCATTTTCTCACATCGCCATGGTGGTTGGATCTAAAACAGTCCCTTCATGATACTTGGACATTTGCTCAAAATAATGGTTGGAGTGAAACATGGAAACAAATAGTGGAGCTGAGTGATCCACATGGGGAACAAAATGCTTACAGGGTTTGTCTCATTTTATTGAAAGCTGGCTGCACCCTGCCATAATAAAATACTCAACTTATTTCATTTATATTTAATTTTAATTTTTATCTTTCAGGTTTTGGGGGTAACTGCTATCGCCACTCAATCAGAAATCAAATCCAAGTACAGAGCCCTATCATTGGAATGGCACCCTGATAAGGCCAAGGACCCTGAATCAAAGCGTATTGCTCAGGAGAGATTTGTTGAGATTCAACAAGCTTATGAGATTTTGTCAAGCATCAAATCCAAAAGGAGGAGTCGCTCAAGGAAGAGTGATCCTGATTGGAGTTAGATGATGTATCAGTATTTCTTGTATCTTACATCATTTCAAGTCGTCATCTTGTTCCAAATTCATGAGACTGGCTACTAAGTCTCCTTTAGTTTGAACAGACTTACTGTTTTGGCAATGCACTGTTGGGTAAAAGTTTAATTGGATTATCTTTTGTAAGAATTTCATTCATTGTTGGTTGCACAATAGTTTTTCATGAATTTGCATTTACATTTTTATTGCAAGTTATACCACAAGATTTATTATTCTTTTGTTTGGGTATTATATTTACCCTGTGTTATTTTGAAACCTAACTATGCCCCTTTTGTTTTTGCAACGAGAGTTTAGAATTTCTTTTTAATATCTATCTATTTTTGTACCAATTTCATTATAGTGTACTGTGATATGCTCTTAATTTAGGAAAAAAGAAGTAGACAATACAAGTATCAGAACTTGCACATTATACTCAGTTTGCTCACTAAGTAAACCAATTCCATTTCAGTATCAAAAGTATTTATTTGATGTAATTCTGAGAATCGTGATAAGTATTTGTGCTAAGATCTCTTTTTTTTTTAGACCAGTTGTAAGAATACTGCCCAGGTACTTAATCTTCACAATTTAGAGTCTTTATTCCATATTATTTATGTATTTATCTATTTATTGGAAGCTTTCCTTTTCCATATTTGTATGGTTAAAGTGCCAAATGAGAGTTCTCTCTTGATTCTAATCAGCTGCTGGATCAGTATGAACATCACATATATGTTTTTATGTGAACTTGTTTCATATTGTATTTTATTCCATTTTGTTTTCCAATCTTGTTTAGGTATTTGAATTTGTTTCTATGTTGTGTTTTTATTTGTGAAACTATTCTGACAGTTTTTATATGTATGTTGTTGTGTAAGTAATGTTACATCCCAAGCATTCCCAGATAGATTGTTGAGTTGGTTAATTGAAAGCTAGAATGCAAGTTGGACAGTCATTCAGTGGCGGTAGTGAATAGACGAAACTAGGTTCTATGAACTGCTGGATAAAAATACTCAATAAAGTATTTTGGTACTATAAATATTTTATTATTTAGTAATAATATCATTATCATTTCTAGTTTAAATTTCATAAATTAACATACATACATACAGACACACATACACACAATGAAAGAAGTGATGTAAAAAGTGGAATTTGCTTTTAACGCTTACTTGCTATCACATAGAAACTTATAGTTTGGCATGGGAGATTTATTTTAAAAAAGATAAATAAAAATAACAATGTCATGTCATATTTCACCGTCGGCTCTAGTTTGGCATCTTGGTCCAAAATAAATCACTGTTTCTAAATCGAAAAGGCAGCCGTGAGGGCTTGGCGGCTTTGTTTAGACCCGAATCCGTCTGAAGCGTACACAAGTCGCTGGCCTAGCATAAGTTGGTGGGAAGGACAGCCTTTACAACAGTGGAATGAAGGGTCGATTTCATAAGCAGCTCACAGTGTGCCCACCACCATTCCGAATGAACACGCATGACGCCGTGGGTGACACAAATTTAATCTTTCGGTCGCAATCACATGGACCGCAGGCTGCCGCGCCGCCTCGGCTGGGGGGCGTCGCTGAAGCGCGGGCGCGCCAGGGCGCGGCCGGGGGCGGGGGCCGCGGGCCGGGGCAGCA